CTTTCAGTACGAGGGGATGACTTCTTCTTAGGTCCCGCTTTCTTATTTTCCCCATAGTTAGTAGGATCGCGTAAAAAATTCAGTACAACTTTATGAGATCTGCCGAGTTTACGTGCGATTTCACGTATCCCCATTTTTTGCTCTCTGTACGCTGAAATTGCACCTTGCTCTTGTTCGTTAAGGTAGCTGCCACGTGGCATTGTATCAATTAACTAAGAATTCCCGAGTTTACTAAAAAAAATTCCAACAGAAACCCTTGAAGTGCGTTAAAACTGAACCGGTTCTATTGTTTTGCACCGATCGTCAAACGTTTATCGATTAAATCTTGACATATAAGTAGACAACTTCAATGAATTTCACCTAAAATCCATTATTTACAATGCTTTTTCATACCATATAATTGGTTGTTTCAAATTATTTTCTTACAGGTCGGAAATGTTAAAAATATTAGTGGTGCTATAGTTATGCTCCGCAGTGTATTTACCAAACAAAGTTGACCTTCAAATCTCCAAAACGTCTCCACCTATGAAAAAAATTAATGCACTGGATAGTGAGAGGGGTACAGTGAAAACTCGATAAATGTCCTCGAGAGCTGTTCTCTAAATGATACATTTCTATCCCCACAACTAGGGGGATCCCCCTCGAACCAGCGAGCTTTCTTTAAGAATCTTCATCGACTACTCTATACTGTGGAGCATAACTATAGCACCACTATAATTTTCAAGAGTTTTGTAGTTGTAACTAATGATTTCTAAATGTTAATAATACCACGTGAAAAGGACTAGAAAAAAATTATAATCAATGGAAAAAATACAAAAATAACATTTATTTAACACGAAGTATGATAATAAATGAAATATTGCAATGGTGCATAACTATAGCACCAATGTATTTGGAACGTAATAATAAGGTTAAATGGCTATAAAGTGTTAAATTTCTAATTCAGTTTATTATAGTGAGCAGTTTCGATAATGAGTAGGACCTCCTTTTTTATGTATTAATTCGAAAATACGATTGTTCATACTTGTAATGAGTTTTTTCAAAGTTTCTCCACTAATTTGATTCCACGCTTCAATAACTGCTGTTTTTAGCTCCGAAGTGTTCGAAAATTGTCGATTATTTCCATAAATATGCCGTACCATGATACCCCATAGGTTTTCATTTGGATTTTGGTCTGGGGAGCATGCAGGCCATTTCGATACATTGACATCAAACGTTTCAAACTGTGGTTTTGTCGGATATTATGGATTGGAGCATTATCTTGTCGATAAGTCCATGAAATGTGATTGTTTGCATGAATAAAAGGCAATAAATGATTTTCGAGTATTCCAATATACTCCGCGCTATTAATACGTGTAGTTGGAAAAGCTAATCTGAGCTTGCCACAGGAGCAGAATGCACCCCACACGATAAGTGTCCCTCCACCGAAATTACGTTTCGAAAAGTATTTTTGTTCCTTACGAAGCTCCCTCCAATATGAATCAAATCCATCCGGACCGTCCAAATTGAATTTTTCTTCGTCAGAGAAAATAACCTAAGTTTAATAAGGAATATTGAATATGAAGCTAAAATCTCGATTTATGAATGTTTAAACTTAACTTACATCATTCCAATTTCTGCTCATGTTTTCTCGCGCGTATTCAAGCCTGGCTATTTTCTGACGTTTCAGAAGTGTAGGTGCAGACATCATTTTTTGTCTTATAATGTTTGAATTATGTTTAAGGACACGTTGGACAGTCCAACGAGAAACGCCGAGATCACATTCCTTCGCAATTTGTTTACAGCTTTTTAACGTATTGCTCGCATCTTTAGCAATTTGCCTTTCAGTACGAGGGGATGACTTCTTCTTAGGTCCCCCTTTCTTATTTTTCCCATACTTAGTAGGATCGCGTAAAAAATTCAGTACAACTTTATGAGATCTGCCGAGTTTACGTGCGATTTCACGTATCCCCATTTTTTGCTCTCTGTACGCTGAAATTGCACCTTGCTCTTGTTCGTTAAGGTAGCTGCCACGTGGCATTGTATCAATTAACTAAGAATTCCCGAGTTTACTAAAAAAAATTCCAACAGAAACCCTTGAAGTGCGTTAAAACTGAACCGGTTCTATTGTTTTTCACCGATCGTCAAACGTTTATCGATTAAATCTTGACATATAAGTAGACAACTTCAATGAATTTCACCTAAAATCCATTATTTACAATGCTTTTTCCTACCATATAATTGGTTGTTTCAAATTATTTTCTTACAGGTCGGAAATGTTAAAAATATTAGTGGTGCTATAGTTATGCTCCGCAGTGTATTTACCAAACAAAGTTGACCTTCAAATCTCCAAAACGTCTCCACCTATGAAAAAAATTAATGCACTGGATAGTGAGAGGGGTACAGTGAAAACTCGATAAATGTCCTCGAGAGCTGTTCTCTAAATGATACATTTCTATCCCCACAACTAGGGGGATCCCCCTCGAACCAGCGAGCTTTCTTTAAGAATCTTCATCGACTACTCTATACTGTGGAGCATAACTATAGCACCACTATAATTTTCAAGAGTTTTGTAGTTGTAACTAATGATTTCTAAATGTTAATAATACCACGTGAAAAGGACTAGAAAAAAATTATAATCAATGGAAAAAATACAAAAATAACATTTATTTAACACGAAGTATGATAATAAATGAAATATTGCAATGGTGCATAACTATAGCACCAATGTATTTGGAACGTAATAATAAGGTTAAATGGCTATAAAGTGTTAAATTTCTAATTCAGTTTATTATAGTGAGCAGTTTCGATAATGAGTAGGACCTCCTTTTTTATGTATTAATTCGAAAATACGATTGTTCATACTTGTAATGAGTTTTTTCAAAGTTTCTCCACTAATTTGATTCCACGCTTCAATAACTGCTGTTTTTAGCTCCGAAGTGTTCGAAAATTGTCGATTATTTCCATAAATATGCCGTACCATGATACCCCATAGGTTTTCAATTGGATTTTGGTCTGGGGAGCATGCAGGCCATTTCGATACATTGACATCAAACGTTTCAAACTGTGGTTTTGTCGGATATTATGGATTGGAGCATTATCTTGTCGATAAGTCCATGAAATGTGATTGTTTGCATGAATAAAAGGCAATAAATGATTTTCGAGTATTCCAATATACTCCGCGCTATTAATACGTGTAGTTGGAAAAGCTAATCTGAGCTTGCCACAGGAGCAGAATGCACCCCACACGATAAGTGTCCCTCCGCCGAAATTACGTTTCGAAAAGTATTTTTGTTCCTTACGAAGCTCCCTCCAATATGAATCAAATCCATCCGGACCGTCCAAATTGAATTTTTCTTCGTCAGAGAAAATAACCTAAGTTTAATAAGGAATATTGAATATGAAGCTAAAATCTCGATTTATGAATGTTTAAACTTAACTTACATCATTCCAATTTCTGCTCATGTTTTCTCGCGCGTATTCAAGCCTGGCTATTTTCTGACGTTTCAGAAGTGTAGGTGCAGACATCATTTTTTGTCTTATAATGTTTGAATTATGTTTAAGGACACGTTGGACAGTCCAACGAGAAACGCCGAGATCACATTCCTTCGCAATTTGTTTACAGCTTTTTAACGAATTGCTCGCAACTTTAGCAATTTGCCTTTCAGCACGAGGGGATGACTTCTTCTTAGGTCCCCCTTTCTTATTTTTCCCATACTTAGTAGGATCGCGTAAAAAATTCAGTACAACTTTATGAGATCTGCCGAGTTTACGTGCGATTTCACGTATCCCCATTTTTTGCTCTCTGTACGCTGAAATTGCACCTTGCTCTTGTTCGTTAAGGTAGCTGCCACGTGGCATTGTATCAATTAACTAAGAATTCCCGAGTTTACTAAAAAAAATTCCAACAGAAACCCTTGAAGTGCGTTAAAACTGAACCGGTTCTATTGTTTTTCACCGATCGTCAAACGTTTATCGATTAAATCTTGACATATAAGTAGACAACTTCAATGAATTTCACCTAAAATCCATTATTTACAATGCTTTTTCCTACCATATAATTGGTTGTTTCAAATTATTTTCTTACAGGTCGGAAATGTTAAAAATATTAGTGGTGCTATAGTTATGCTCCGCAGTGTATATACGTATTGTCCTTCAAATGACCTTGAATAACAGAAATCACATTTGTGTGAGAGAAAAGGAATCCTACAAAATTATGTTTATTCGAAATGTATTAAAAATAATTTCCGCTAACTTCGAATCGACTTTCTCCTGCCGAGGCACTTAAATAATCAAGTTTATCAAGATATATATCCACAACACCGGAAGACACGCGAGAAAAGAATCGACTTGCATGCACCATCACTATGAAATTTATTGAAAGTAGGAAATAATTTATTTATTCGTCGTATCTGATGATAGAAACTTATTAACGATAATTATTCCGATCACTTTTTTAAATAAAATACTTTCTTCGTTTCCCATATGAACGAGATTTGTATTGAAAGATACATTTGTAATATAAGATTTGTATTGTATTTGAAGGTTACCATATATGTGGATAAATTTGTTTTTTTATAATGTTACTACTTTAATGAAAAATGACTAATTACTAACCTCCACATTATAAATTACTTGCACATATGAAACATTTAAGGTCTGGAATTTGAATTATTTTTTGTTAATAATTTTGAAGAAGGCTGCTTAATAACTATTGGTCGAAAACGTCAAATAAAAACAACAAATGTTACAACCTACGTTCTTGATTTTACTGCAACAAGAATTAAATCCCAGTAATTATAAACACGTTGTACTTGAAAATTCTTGTACAGAAAATTAAATGAATTAAATTAAGGAGATTGATGTTCCTTTTAAATGGTACAAGTGCATAAACAATGTTAAGAGAAACAGCAATGCCTTTTCGAGCAGTGTGATGGTCGAATATTAATGCGTGTCGTCGAGTGTTGAAAAACGAGCAGGAAAAGAGGAGGCTGTTGAAAGCGTGAACGGTATGTACGTACCGGTATAGTGAGTAAGGTCACTTCCGGTGTCCTCTGGGAGTCCCTGACGATGGCAGTCAAGGCCGTAATGGCGGCCATGTTCGAGAGGGCAAGGGCGATCAGGCTGGCTGCAAGGTGAGCCGTCGAAAAGCTGGAATTCGCTTTGCTCGAGGATGTGGCGAGCGTCGCGACGACACCCAACGCTCCTGCGACGAGGGCACCCACACCTGCCCAGAGTCCTGCACCGGAACCGCCCAATGAGGCGCCGTGGACCAACACCAGGATTCCAAACACGACCAGAACCACACCTGAGGAGCATTAAACATTATTTTAATCGAAATTAAACACCTGGACCTTGATTTATACACACATATACATATACAGGTTGGGGAATTTTAAACAGGTCACCTGAATAACTCGCTTGTTTTTGAAGATAGGAGAAAATGCATTAGGCCAAACTTACTTGCTATCGGGGGGCTCATAATCTGGAATTACCAATTTTTCTGTAGGTGGAGGCGTCAAGGAGATATGAAGGTCAACTCTGTTTTTTTACTTACATTCTGATAGAGTGTTTCAAGGCGAATACAATGACCTATTATTAAGGTCATTTAAGGTCAGCCAAAGTCAACTGCAATAGAAAATAAATTGTCTCAAAGCACTCTTCGAACACTTGGATACTTTGGTACTGCTACTACAAGTGTTCAAAATGGCGAGAGGTGTCAGGTCGATCAGGAAGTAACAAATGGCCGGCACGATTCCCAGACCTGACACTTCTCGATTTTTATTTGTGGGGAAAACTAAAGGCAGAAGTGTACCGTGAAGAACCAACTACCAAACTTGACATGCAAGAACGTATAAGAAGAGCTTGCTCTGTAATAGATAAAAATGAAATTTGCCAGGTAGTCATTTGTCATTAGTATTGCAACGATTTAGACTATGCATCCATGTTCAAGGTCGCCATTTTGAACACTTGTAGTAGCAGTACCAAAGTATCCAAGTGTTCGAAGAGTGCTTTGAGACAATTTATTTTGTATATCAGCTTGTGTGTTGCTTCTTTCTCCATTTTTTATGACTCTACTTTTTCAAATCACAAAACAATATATGTACTTGAAATTTAAAGATAAAACTCATTTTTTTCAAACCAAGCTAAGTATTTTATTATCCAAATAGATTGAATATTTGATCAAACTTGAGAAAATTCTGTTCAAATGTTTGAACAATTATATTATTTATATTCGTAAATAATGTCAATCATATACTATATAAAATTCTACAGGGTAGGCTTAATTAAATTTGAACATTTTTACTTGAAATTTAATTTTTAATTTTTTGGTAAGGACAGTTTCTATTTTATTAATTGTTTCACTAATGATTATGCTACTATTGTACAGTAAAATTATTGCAGTTATTTAAAATTTTATTCATTGATCTGAATAGACTTTAAATCATGAGCAAACAAACATGTTTTTGATAAAGAGGTGAATATAATGTTTTTTTAATTGATGTAATATATATTTATATTTATACCATTATATATAATTAATTTAGGCATTTTTACTTAAATTTTAATTTTTAATTTTTTAGTAAGGACAGTTTCTATTTTATTAATTGTTTCACTAATGATTATGCTACTATTGTACAGTAAAATTATTGCAGTTATTTAAAATTTTATTCATTGATCAGAGTAGACTTTAAATCATGAGCAAACAAACATGTTTTTGATAAACAGGTGAATATAATGAATTTTTAATTGATATAATATATATTTATATTTATACAATTAATTATACCATTTTTTTAAAGTGATCTTACAAAAAAAGAAAACTAATGAATTAAGGTCAGACAATCCAAATAACAAAATAATAAAAGTTAATTTTACATCGAAAGTATTGATTATAGGATCTAACTAAATCAAACATTTTTTATTCTGCCATACTTTTAGTGAGTATTACAAGCCTTTAAACTTTCATACTTCTCTTTTATCGACTCTTATTCATAAATAAAATAATTTGAAAATATTTTTTTTTACCATTTTCATAATGTTATTGACTTGAATTCGAGTAAAAGTTGCAATGGCCATAATTTTAGAACGAGACAAGTTTGAGACTATACGAACAGCAGTGCCACGTGAATATTATAATAAGAAAATTTGCAATACCCCCCGCTAGAATATCGAATCACGATGAATCGCAGCGTGGCGATTTCCTACGGTTTGCAAACCTGTGAAAAGAGTTACACAAGTATGACTTTCTAAGTGAAATGTTTTCACTTTTACACTGATTTCTATGCAGTTTAGAGAAAAGTTTGCTCAGCACGCGCACAATGGAAATCCGTTTTTTTTCTGAATTTACAGAAACCCGAACGAATCGAGATATTTCGAATGAATCGTAATACACTGCGGAGCATAACTATAGCACCACTAATATTTTTAACATTTCCGACCTGTAAGAAAATAATTTGAAACAACCAATTATATGGTACGAAAAAGCATTGTAAATAATGGATTTTAGGTGAAATTCATTGAAGTTGTCTACTTATATGTCAAGATTTAATCGATAAACGTTTCACGATCGGTGCAAAACAATAGAACCGGTTCAGTTTTAACGCACTTCAAGGGTTTCTGTTGGAATTTTTTTTAGTAAACTCGGGAATTCTTAGTTAATTGATACAATGCCACGTGGCAGCTACCTCAATGAACAAGAGCAAGGTGCAATTTCAGCGTACAGAGAGCAAAAAATGGGGATACGTGAAATCGCACGTAAACCCGGGCGATCTCATAAAGTTGTACTGAATTTTTCACGCGATCCTACTAAGTATGGGGAAAATAAGAAAGCGGGACCTAAGAAGAAGTTATCCCCTCGTACTGAAAGGCAAATTGCTAAAGTTGCGAGCAATACGTTAAAAAGCTGTAAACAAATTGCGAAGGAATGTGATCTCGGCGTTTCTCGTTGGACTGTCCAACGTGTCCTTAAACATAATTCAAACATTATAAGACAAAAAATGATGTCTGCACCTACACTTCTGAAACGTCAGAAAATAGCCAGGCTTGAATACGCGCGAGAAAACATGAGCAGAAATTGGAATAATGTAAGTTAAGTTTAGATATTCATAAATCGAGATTTTAGCTTCATATTCAATATTCCTTGTTTAACTTAGGTTATTTTCTCTGACGAAGAAAAATTCAATTTGGACGGTCCAGATGGATTTAATTCATATTGGAGGGACCTTCGTAAAAAACAAAAATACTTTTCGAAACGTAATTTCAGCGGAGGGACACTTATCGTGTGGGGTGCATTCTGCTCCAGTGGCAAGCTCAGATTAGCTTTTCCAACTACACGAATTAATAGTGCGGAGTATATTAGAATACTCGAAAATCATTTATTGCCTTTTATTCATGCAAATAATCACATTTCATGGACTTATCGACAAGATAATGCTCCAATCCATAATATCCGACAAACCACAGTTTGAAACGTTTGATGTCAATGTATCGAAATGGCCTGCATGCTCCCCAGACCAAAATCCAAATGAAAACCTATGGGGTATCATGGTACGGCATATTTATGGAAATAATCGACAATTTTCGAACATTTCGGAGCTAAAAACAGCAGTTATTGAAGCGTGGAATCAAATTAGCGAAGAAACTTTGAAAAAACTCATTACAAGTACGAACAATCGTATTTTCGAATTAATACATAAAAAAGGAGGTCCTACTCATTATCGAAACTGCTCGCTTTAATAAACTGAATTAGAAATTTAACACTTTATAGCCATTTAACCTTATTATTACGTTCCAAATACATTGGTGCTATAGTTATGCACCATTGCAATATTTCATTTATTATCATACTTCGTGTTAAATAAATGTTATTTTTGTATTTTTTCCATTAATTATAATTTTTTTCTAGTCGTTTTCACGTGGTATTATTAACATTTAGAAATCATTAGTTACAACTACAAAACTCTTGAAAATTATAGTGGTGCTATAGTTATGCTCCACAGTATAGAGTAGTCGATGAAAATTCTTAAAGAAAGCTCGCTGGTTCGAGGGGGATCCCCCTAGTTGTGGGGATAGAAATGTATCATTTAGAGAACAGCTCTCGAGGACATTTATCGAGTTTTCACTGTACCCCTCTCACTATCCAGTGCATTAATTTTTTTCATAGGTGGAGACGTTTTGGAGATTTGAAGGTCAACTTTGTTTGGTAAATACACTGCGGAGCATAACTATAGCACCACTAATATTTTTAACATTTCCGACCTGTAAGAAAATAATTTGAAACAACCAATTATATGGTACGAAAAAGCATTGTAAATAATGGATTTTAGGTGAAATTCATTGAAGTTGTCTACTTATATGTCAAGATTTAATCGATAAACGTTTGACGATCGGTGCAAAACAATAGAACCGGTTCATTTTTAACGCACTTCAAGGGTTTCTGTTGGAATTTTTTTAGTAAACCCGGGAATTCTTAGTTAATTGATACAATGCCACGTGGCAGCTACCTTAACGAACAAGAGCAAGGTGCAATTTCAGCGTACAGAGAGCAAAAAATGGGGATACGTGAAATCGCACGTAAACTCGGGAGATCTCATAAAGTTGTACTGAATTTTTCACGCGATCCTACTAAGTATGGGGAAAATAAGAAAGGGGGACCTAAGAAGAAGTCATCCCCTCGTACTGAAAGGCAAATTGCTAAAGTTGCGAGCAATACGTTAAAAAGCTGTAAACAAATTGCGAAGGAATGTGATCTCGGCGTTTCTCGTTGGACTGTCCAACGTGTCCTTAAACATAATTCAAACATTATAAGACAAAAAATGATGTCTGCACCTACACTTCTGAAACGTCAGAAAATAGCCAGGCTTGAATACGCGCGAGAAAACATGAGCAGAAATTGGAATAATGTAAGTTAAGTTTAGATATACATAAATCGAGATTTTAGCTTCATATTCAATATTCCTTGTTTAACTTAGGTTATTTTCTCTGACGAAGAAAAATTCAATTTGGACGGTCCAGATGGATTTAATTCTTATTGGAGGGACCTTCGTAAAGAACAAAATACTTTTCGAAACGTAATTTCAGCGGAGGGACACTTATCGTGTGGGGTGCATTCTGCTCCTGTGGCAAGCTCAGATTAGCTTTTCCAACTACACGAATTAATAGCGCGGAGTATATTGGAATACTCGAAAATCATTTATTGCCTTTTATTCATGCAAACAATCACATTTCATGGTCTTATCGACAAGATAATGCTCCAATCCATAATATCCGACAAACCACAGTTTGAAACGTTTGATGTCAATGTATCGAAATGGCCTGCATGCTCCCCAGACCAAAATCCAAATGAAAACCTATGGGGTATCATGGTACGGCATATTTATGGAAATAATCGACAATTTTCGAACACTTCGGAGCTAAAAACAGCAGTTATTGAAGCGTGGGATCAAATTAGCGAAGAAACTTTGAAAAAACTCATTACAAGTACGAACAATCGTATTTTCGAATTAATACATAAAAAAGGAGGTCCTACTCATTATCGAAACTGCTCGCTTTAATAAACTGAATTAGAAATTTAACACTTTATAGCCATTTAACCTTATTATTACGTTCCAAATACATTGGTGCTATAGTTATGCACCATTGCAATATTTCATTTATTATCATACTTCGTGTTAAATAAATGTTATTTTTGTATTTTTTCCATTAATTATAATTTTTTTCTAGTCGTTTTCACGTGGTATTATTAACATTTAGAAATCATTAGTTACAACTACAAAACTCTTGAAAATTATAGTGGTGCTATAGTTATGCTCCACAGTATAGAGTAGTCGATGAAAATTCTTAAAGAAAGCTCGCTGGTTCGAGGGGGATCCCCCTAGTTGTGGGGATAGAAATATATCATTTAGAGAACAGCTCTCGAGGACATTTATCGAGTTTTCACTGTACCCCTCTCACTATCCAGTGCATTAATTTTTTTCATAGGTGGAGACGTTTTGGAGATTTGAAGGTCAACTTTGTTTGGTAAATACACTGCGGAGCATAACTATAGCACCACTAATATTTTTAACATTTTCGACCTGTAAGAAAATAATTTGAAACAACCAATTATATGGTATGAAAAAGCATTGTAAATAATGGAATTTAGGTGAAATTCATTGAAGTTGTCTACTTATATGTCAAGATTTAATCGATAAACGTTTGACGATCGGTGAAAAACAATAGAACCGGTTCAGTTTTAACGCACTTCAAGGGTTTCTGTTGGAATTTTTTTAGTAAACTCGGGAATTCTTAGTTAATTGATACAATGCCACGTGGCAGCTACCTCAATGAACAAGAGCAAGGTGCAATTTCAGCGTACAGAGAGCAAAAAATGGGGATACGTGAAATCGCACGTAAACTCGGGAGATCTCATAAAGTTGTACTGAATTTTTTACGCGATCCTACTAAGTATGGGGAAAATAAGAAAGCGGGACCTAAGAAGAAGTTATCCCCTCGTACTGAAAGGCAAATTGCTAAAGTTGCGAGCAATACGTTAAAAAGCTGTAAACAAATTGCGAAGGAATGTGATCTCGGCGTTTCTCGTTGGACTGTCCAACGTGTCCTTAAATATAATTCAAACATTATAAGACAAAAAATGATGTCTGCACCTACACTTCTGAAACGTCAGAAAATAGCCAGGCTTGAATACGCGCGAGAAAACATGAGCAGAAATTGGAATAATGTAAGTTAAGTTTAGATATTCATAAATCGAGATTTTAGCTTCATATTCAATATTCCTTGTTTAACTTAGGTTATTTTCTCTGACGAAGAAAAATTCAATTTGGACGGTCCAGATGGATTTAATTCATATTGGAGGGACCTTCGTAAAGAACAAAATACTTTTCGAAACGTAATTTCGGTGGTGGGACACTTATCGTGTGGGGTGCATTCTGCTCCTGTGGCAAGCTCAGATTAGCTTTTCCAACTACACGAATTAATAGTGCGGAGTATATTGGAATACTCGAAAATCATTTATTGCCTTTTATTCATGCAAACAATCACATTTCATGGACTTATCGACAAGATAATGCTCCAATCCATAATATCCGACAAAACCACAGTTTGAAACGTTTGATGTCAATGTATCGAAATGGCCTGCATGCTCCCCAGACCAAAATCCAAATGAAAACCTATGGGGTATCATGGTACGGCATATTTATGGAAATAATCGACAATTTTCGAACACTTCGGAGCTAAAAACAGCAGTTATTGAAGCGTGGGATCAAATTAGCGAAGAAACTTTGAAAAAACTCATTACAAGTACGAACAATCGTATTTTCGAATTAATACATAAAAAAGGAGGTCCTACTCATTATCGAAACTGCTCGCTTTAATAAACTGAATTAGAAATTTAACACTTTATAGCCATTTAACCTTATTATTACGTTCCAAATACATTGGTGCTATAGTTATGCACCATTGCAATATTTCATTTATTATCATACTTCGTGTTAAATAAATGTTATTTTTGTATTTTTTCCATTAATTATAATTTTTTTCTAGTCGTTTTCACGTGGTATTATTAACATTTAGAAATCATTAGTTACAACTACAAAACTCTTGAAATTTATAGTTGTGCTATAGTTATGCTCCACAGTGTATAATAACAATTAAACGAAGGGAAAAAGTATGCACCTATTAACAGAAAACTATCGTTGATACCTAGTGACGCTATTATTGATCGTAATAGTTAATTAATCAAGATTTACTTCACTGCTTTGGGCCTATATCGCTCGGTAAACACGTTTATAGAGAGACTACCGAGTTACTAATTCAATTACCTCCGATAAAACAGGTTTCTGATCGCCAACTAACAGATTGCCTATTCCATTACATATGACGATCATCAAATTCAACTTCGTGCACGGAGATATTCGTTAATTCGTACTGGAAGACATAGAAGAATTCAAATCCGCGAGTATCTCGAAAAAAAAAAGGTGAAACTCACCGAGGAGCAATTGTCCGCAGGAGGTGAACATGAACAGATTGGAATCATCCTTGGATTCGGAACTCTTGAGTTTCTGTCGTTCGTCTGGATGCTGTTGCGTGTGTGGTTGGTGTTGCTGGTGTCGTTGCTGTTTCTCAGAAATCAGAATATCCTTCGAGTGTTTCGATTCCAAGCAACTGTCAGGCTTCGAATCCGAGGCACTCGAGTCCTTCGAGCCCTTCGAGTTGCTCGAATCCTGACTCCTGACTGTCGAGTCGAGTGCTATGCTCGGGTTCTCCATGTTTCGTTTGTCCCCAGAAACCTTTCAATCCGTTACCATCACTTTTCTCCTCTTCGAACGTTCCAGGAACGTTTTATCATTTATTTTTGTCTCCCATGAATCTCTCGTTGCTTCTATTTTCAAGGATATCTCCAAAAGTCTAGTGAAACGTGTCGAGCAGAGTTCATCGATATTTATCGCTATCTATTTCCCTGTAAATGTCGCGTTTGTTAAAGTTTAAGGATGATTCTCCAGGAGTGGCATTTTCGTGAAGATTCGACGTTTTTCAACTTGTTTGATCAGACTTCTCGTGACTGTGGTTCGGTAAAGGTCAATAGACGCTGAGAACTCGCTGTTCCGGTTGACACAGTCTGTTGAATCCCACCGATCTGTAAATAAAGTAATCGACAATTACATCGATGATCGCTCAAAAGTGGTTAAATTCTTCTCAAGGAGGACATTTGCATTTTTAACAACGAATTAAGACAAAAAGAAACAGAAACAGACTTTTGTTATTATTTACATATCTGGTTCAATTATCCTTGAATTTTATGTTTAGTTTATATAATTATTTTATAACTGGTGGTTAGTTCTTATTTAAATTTGGTAGTTGACATAGTTCTTTTCGTGGGGTTATTTTTATTGAGTGGTATGCCTGGTGAGTGAGTGTGGTATGCCTGAGAATGGGTGTTGGCAGCGCTGGTGCGCGAGAGGGACGGCGCGTGAAGTCCCTTGTATGGAAGAGAGCGTGATGCGCACGTGGTGAGAATTGTATTAAAATATATACGTTATATTGTTAAATAAGAAAGGGGCTAATTCATTAGTCAACCTAATTCCTCCCACACTTTTTGGTATTAAAATAACTATTTTACACCATCTTGCACTAGGAAATTTAACAGAATATATGTAATTTTAATGTTTTTGTTGGGTTGAGGAAAAGAAACTTAAAGATTTAAACACGAACTGAATTGTTCGTTCAATTTACAGAACAGAAACAGACTTTTGTTATTATTTAAATATCTGATTCAATCATCCTTCAACCTTATGTTTGATAGTTCATATAATTATTTCATAACTGGTGGCTAGTTCTTATTTAAATTTGGTAGGTGACATAGTTCTTTTTAGTATCAAAATAACTATTTTACACCATCTTGCGCCAGGAAATTTAATAGGATATATGTAATTTTAATGTTTTTGTTGGGTTGAGGAAAAGAAACTTAAAGATTTAAACACGAACTGAATTGTTCGTTCAATTTACAGAACAAAAACAGACTTTTGTTATTATTTAAATATCTGATTCAATCATCCTTCAACTTTATTTTTGATAGTTTATATAATTATTTCATAACTGGTGGCTAGTTCTTATTTAAATTTGGTAGGTGACATAGTTCTTTTTAGTATCAAAATAACTATTTTACACCATCTTGCGCCAGGAAATTTAACAGAATATATGTAATTTTAATGTTTTTGTTGGGTTGAGGAAAAGAAACTTAAAGATTTAAACACGAACTGAATTCTTTGTTCAATTTACAGAACAGAAACAGACTTTTGTTATTATTTAAATATCTGATTCAATCATCCTTCAACCTTATGTTTGATAGTTCATATAATTATTTCATAACTGGTGGCTAGTTCTTATTTAAATTTGGTAGGTGACATAGTTCTTTTTAGTATCAAAATAACTATTTTACACCATCTTGCGCCAGGAAATTTAATAGGATATATGTAATTTTAATGTTTTTGTTGGGTTGAGGAAAAGAAACTTAAAGATTTAAACACGAACTGAATTGTTCGTTCAATTTACAGAACAAAAACAGACTTTTGTTATTATTTAAATATCTGATTCAATCATCCTTCAACCTTATGTTTGATAGTTCATATAATTATTTCATAACTGGTGGCTAGTTCTTATTTAAATTTGGTAGGTGACATAGTTCTTTTTAGTATCAAAATAACTATTTTACACCATCTTGCGCCAGGAAATTTAACAGAGTATATGTAATTTTAATGTTTTTGTTGGGTTGAGGAAAAGATACTTAAAGATTTAAACAGAAACTAAATTGTTTGTTCAATTTAAAAGGCATAATGAGATATAATTGCACTATTCAAAACTTTATATTAATTATGGGAGCATAGACAGCGCCATCTGAGGCCCAAAGCAAAGCGATCGCGATTGAAATTCCAACAGTTCTACTAACTACATTCTTTTACTAAGTAAAAATAAATTTTTCGAAACACAATTGCAGTAAATTGAATTAAATTTTTCACAAACGGAATTAGATACATATTTTTATCGTTCAAAAAGGATTCAATAAACTTTTACAAATATTTTTTTAAAGAGATGTTAATAAAACGAGATAATAAGTCATCGAACATTAGAAAAGTATGAGACCTAATTTTCAATACGAAATGAAATGTAATATTATTGTATTAAATATATGAAAAATCTACAAAGAAGGTGATTAATTGTATTTATTAGCGTCCATTAAATGAAAATTAATTCCAAGACCGGTAGAGCACCCATATCTGAGATAAATACAAATGGTTAATTTATATTTACTTCTGCAAGAGATTTTAAAATGTGCAATTATCGAGGCTTCGAAGAATTCGTAATATTTCGAGACCATTCGAGACTTTCGAGTTAATTTCGAATAACGTTAGAATCGACTCGTAATTTTGTGTCTTCGAACTTGACACATCTCGAAACGCATCGTAAATTAACCCTGTTACGTCTGCTAGTCGAGGAAAATAAGACACAGTACTCGATGTCTGTAAATCAAGTACAGTTAAAGCGGCCATTCCGGAAAAATTCTGTGGTACACGATGTGCAGCGACCTTGAAGTAACACGAACTCGTCCTTGTTCCATGAATCTACGAATATTTTCAACGATCAAACTGTACTTTCATTTAATTCCACGCAGCGTATCAAATGACACGTGTTTGCTCGATAAAAGAAATATTTTTTAAAATTGAAAAATTGTACATTTTGCATAACGCGTGACTAGGAAAATTCCGACATATTATTTCGCGATTATCAAGTACGATTTATGGTTAGATAGTTTTTTAATTGTAGAGATCGGGGAAAATAAAAAATTCATATAAATGGTTCCAAGAGAAATTTTGTAAAATTTTTCAGAGAAGTTGCGTGCCTCTGATAAAATTACTATGCGCACTAATATACAATTAATAAACTGTGCTATTAATATCCTGTTTTGGTGATGTATTTTCTACGAGAATTTCCAATCTTTTTCAGACTTCGCTGCGCATATTTTTTATTCAGTTATCCGTGTTTGCGTTATATAGTAAGCTAATCTAATCTCTGCGTTTGTGTTTCTGAAAGTAACCTAATGTAAATACCATTGAAATGATTCTATTATAAACGATTTCTTTAAACAATTCAGTAACGCAATAGATAAATAATTGTGTCTATTTATTCTGGTATTAATTGATCCATTATCACATTCATGAATAATTTCATCGAATGTTAAATTAATTTTAACGAGCTGGGTTAACGGATATACACTTTTTAAGTCGCTGCATTCAATATCAGAAGTTTGTTAAACTATAAAATATTTTTCTTGTTGAATTCATTATATTGAATTTAAAATATTAAAATAACATTTTTAAGAATTATGTATTCCTCTACTGACATTCATCCAAAATATTTTTTATTAACTTCGAGTTCAATTTTCGAATTAAATTAACGTTTAAATATCGCGTGAATTTTTATAAAAAGAAATTATATTAAAAAGTACATTTTTGCCTATTCTTTTCTATCGCTATTTATCGACAATTAAGAGCGAAAATTACAATTATTTGGTACTATTTTGAAAAATATTGGTTATTTTTATAAAAAGAAATTATATTAAAAAGTACATTTTTGCTTGTTCTTTTCTACTGTTATTTATCGACAATTAAGAGCGAAAATTACAATTATTTCGTACTATTTTGAAAAATATTGGTTACTTTTATAAAAAGAAATTATATTAAAAAGTACATTTTTGCTTGTTCTTTTCTACTGTTATTTATCGACAATTAAGAGCGAAAATTATAATTGTTTCGTACTATTTTGAAAAATATTGGTTATTTTTATAAAAAGAAATTATAAAAAAGTACATTTTTGCCTATTCTTCTCTGCTGTTATTTATCGATAATTAAGAGCGAAAATTACAATTATTTCGTACTATTTTGAAAAATATTGGTTACTTTTATGAAAAGAAATTATATTAAAAAGTACATTTTTGCTTGTTCTTTTCTACTGTTATTTATCGACAATTAAGAACGAAAATTATAATTGTTTCGTACTATTTTGAAAAATATTGGTTTCGAACGATTATATTTTCTTCTTATATTCTTCTGTAATGATGCTATTTAGCTGATTTGTGAAAACGTAGAAAACATCGTAGATTTTAACGGCGTCGCTCTGCGTTAAATATTTCACGGTAGACGAAACTGGCGTGTACGGTAAATTTCTAACCGGAAAAGAATCTCCGCGTAGTCTGGAGAAGAATCACAATAAAATGCGAAGAAACACGCAACGAAAATTCGCGCCGTACACAATAAATAACGCTATTGTTTCTGCAAATAAACATAAATCATAAGAACATTGTTTCCCATTTTTTTAAACAATATTTGCAAACAGCGACGAATATAATTTTCACGTCTTATTCTTTCTATTTTACAATAAATATAGTCGTGATTTATTTTTATTTAATTTATATTGTATTCATGTAATTGCAGTGTGTTTGTGGATTAAAAATGTTAAAAAACATTCTAAAAGATGGATCAAAGCTATGATAAAGCTGTTAAATCGTTGAAATACTGAATTATTACGTTGCTATAGTTGAGGACTAAAATTATAATAGCAGTAACTTATTTACATTTTTCGTTACATTGATAGAATTAATAAATTCCTAAATCCGTGTAATTTTATGTCAATTACCTAATTCACTTAACACTAAATTTTTAAATACTAAAAATTTCTATATTTAAATATATTTACCTTTAGTTCTCAAATTAGATAAAGATTAGATAAAGAAATTAGATTATTTCTAAAATTACTAAGTTAATTACTTCTTTAAGTAATTTATGATAATGTTTACAATAAAGTTTTAAATACTACAAATTTCTATACTAAAATATATTTACCTTTATTTCTCAAATTAGATAAAGATTGGATAAAGAAATTAGATTATTTCTAAAATTACTAAGGCAATTACTTCTTTAAGTAATTTACGATAATATTTCGCTTTTTAATTTCGTAAGCAGTTATTGTGATAAATGTTTATCAGTTTTATCAATTGAACAGGCATACTATATATTCCACAAAATAATTTTCTATCTAATTCCACTGTTAAACAGTTTCAGAGTTGTTTCTGCATCAAAATAC